AAGTCTGGAGTTTGCCAACACATGGCTGTCGTGCACGCTCCCAGGCCATCCAATGCGAATCTATGGGGAGGCAAGGAAGGGGAATGTCACTAAAGTCAGTACTGTCTCCATCCCCGTTGGATCAGTGCATAGCATAAACCAATGGTTTATGCTATGCACTGATCCACTATACTATTACACTGTGCATTAACCGTACCGGGCTCTACTTTACACTGTGCATTAACCGTAGCGGCTGCTGAAAGTGTTATGCATTAACCGTATTCCTGATGTAGGGTGTAATGTATTAACCATGTATCCTACACCTCTGGTATTATGCATTAACCGTACCAACCTATGAGCCATTAACCAGGAGTCGGGTAAGACCGTGTTCTTCAGTTCCCACGACGCGCTGTCAAATTCTGTTACTTTCCCTTCACAATCTAAGCCACCGGGACATTCGGATGTCCCAAGAACCATGCGTTATATGAGTACGATGTGTACAATGAGTATCAATTTGACACCTCCCATACCCATCCCTCACCGACTCTCACCATTTGTCTATCTCATACAAAAAGGTCCTTTCCGCCATGATTTCAACCACTTTCTCAAAACTACCCTATCTGTCGCGCGAAGTACGATGAGGTATATGAATATGATGAGCATCAATTTGACACCTCCAATACCCAGGCCTCCCCGATGTACAAATGCCCAAACTATCACAAAAAGGTCGCTTTCGCCATTATTTCAGCCACTTTCTCAAAACTACTCTATCTGTTGGGCGAGTACAATGAGTTATGTGAGTACGATGAGTATCAATTTGACACCTCCAATACCCAGCCCTCCCCGACGCACAAATGCTTCAGAATCATAAATCGGCCCTTTTCACCGTGATTTCTCAAATCCGTATGTTCAGAAGCGTGAGTATAATGAGTACGATGAGTAGAATGAGTATCACTTTGACATCTCCTGCTTCCTGATCCCGCACGAAAAAATGCGATATTTTGAAATGTCATTTTTGTCGTAAATTTCGGTTTTTTCGACCCAAATTTGCAACTTTTTCCCCAGATTTCGCCGTTTTCTCCCTTTATTTTCTCACTTTCCTTTCATATTCTCATTTCCATTTTTAAAAACTTACCCTCAATTTCATTCCGTTGCCATCCATATTGGTCCGCCTCCATCCCCATCTACATATCCTCTTCTCCTCGCGTTTCTACCTCACTCCATACATCACTTTTTAACCGTTGCCTAACTTTGTGCTCCACCGATTCAACCACTTTCACTACAGTCCCTTTTCTCACCACTTTCCCCGTTCCCTCCATGTCTCAAGCCAATCCCGTCACTTTTCCAATTTTTACCCTCCATCTTTTATCGAAATGCCATCTGTAGTATTGTAGTTCTTTTTTTCAGAACAACTATATTATAAACAGGCACCCTTAAAAAAAAACTCTCTCCGTCGCAAACTCTTTTCTTACCCCCCCCCTATTATACAGAGGTTTCTACCCATTTTCACCACTACAATGCTACAAATCCGCCATATACTACCTTTACACTTTTCACTTTCTCCGTGCCCGTCACATTTACACCCTGTCATTTTGATACTCATCATACTCATTTTACTCTCCTTACTCTCCTTACTCATCCGCTTCTAAGTTCCGCATCCTTTCTGCGTGTCGCAACCAATTAAGGATTTGAATACTATACATCAGACATTAGCAATGCCGAACGTTTTTGAAATCAATTCGCATATCAAGTGTATCGAGGGAATTTTTGTCATTCGTTTTCGCGTAGCAGACCTCGATAGTCTTGAACGAATATGTCGGTCTATGTTAAACAAACCCGGTTACATGGCATATATCAAAGTAAATGACGAGAATCGGGGAATTTTTAAGCAGATCTATACCATTTTTAATAAGAAGAATAATCGTCTCCGTAAAGATTTCATTTTTCAGAGCGGGTATCTAGGGATCACAGACGATAAGGGACAACTGAGAATGCTATGTGGAACAGACAAAGACCATCGAGCGTGCGTTCTTGATATTGATACTTAGTAGCATTGCGTCCAAAAGTTGAGATATGAATTAGATAATGTTATAGATGTTGGTATGACAATCCTTGCGCTTAACTGCGTATTCGTCGAAGAAAACAGCAACGGCACTTGAAAACTGAATGGGTAGCGAGTCTGATAATTGTTTATATCACAGTAGTACGAGACTGCTCTAGAGGCGACTACGGTAGAGGATTGATCCAATATTTGAACAGTTATTGTTACCCGAGTGTTATTCGAATTCATATACCCCATAAAACTTGCATGACAAACGACCGCGGACATACCAGGTTTCCATCCAATGGGTCCGAAGCCCCCCGTATAACCGTTTCCATTGGTCAACAACGTATCTACAACACCGTCTTTGATACAAACAGCAGATTGAATGATTTGTGAAGCATAGATGTTCGTACTGCACGTCAAATCTGATTTAACTAATGCGGTTGTATTGCATGTTAAGGTATTTACTGTTGCTGCACCTGCTGTAAATGTGCCGGTTACGTCCAGAGTATTAGCGGAAGCGCTAATAAGGGTCGCTTTTGGAACGGCTTGATTATACTGAATTTGTCGTATAGCAACTCCTCCGGTTGTAGTTTGATTGGCAAAAGCCCATGAGATACCCCAAACAGTATAGGCAGTTGTGTTGGCGAAATTAAATGAATTACCATCTGTGGTCCAACTTGAACTAGGTATATTCGAAAACGTTGCGATTGTTACCATAGCAGACTCGGTTGTTCCAGCAATGACAGAGAATGTTGTTGGCATCAACACACCGTCACTCAGATATGCTGCAAGTTTGATTGAACTCATAGCAATGGCCGACGGGAGTCTCAATAATGAGTAATGAACACTTTGCGTTGTTCCATCGAGTCCTAGGTTTGCTGTCGAAGTGCTCGCGGTTGCCCACCGCAGTCTGGAAGCAATGGAGGCGTTTGAGTAAGCGTACCAAGGGTGTCCAGTGTACCCGTCTGAACCGTTTCCATTTGCATACGTGTATTCGCTGGAGGCTGTAACTGTATAGCCGTTCCATGAGGAACCTGTTGCTGGCGTTGTCGGATACGGAATGAGAGTCGTCACCGAATTTAATGCCGGACTTTTCAAATCGCCTGATATGTTGAGATTTCCTCCAACATATACGTTTTTTGCTACAGAAGCGCCTCCATTCACTACAAGGGCGCCTGATGTGTTAGAGGTTGCATCAGCAGTGTTCGAGACCGAGACAGTCCCACTGTTGTTCAGATTTCCCCCAACATATACATTTTTCGCCACAGAAGTCCCTCCAGAAACTTGGAAAGAACCGGTTCCTACTCCTGTAGAATCCGTTGTGGTAAAGACCGCGACGTTACCACTGCTTGTGGAGACTTTAAACCAAGTGGTATTTTCGGCCGAATTCCACACGGAAAAATCTCCTACAGTTCTCAAGTCGTCCCATACTCTGACATAAGGATTGGAAGACTGATTTGGGTCTATGGAGAGAGGACCTTGTGAACCTGTAGCAGAAATTGTTGCTAAATTCCCGGTGAAAGTCATGTTTCCTGTAACTGTCAAACTGCCGATAGAACCATTAGGAATAGAAACTTTACCTGTTCCGTCCACTGTAAGACCTTGTGGTGCATTCCATAATCCCAAACCCAACGTATTGGTTGCAAGACCCGCTCCAACATAGTTGAAATATACCCTGGCCATGTTATTTGTAGCCGCTCCTACTCCAATCTGTAAAGTCGTGAAACTCCCCGCTGCCAAGTTCGGTGTCCCAAGATGGCTGCTAACAATAGGTCCGGTTGAGGCAATATTGGAGTAGATTGTGCCATTAACAGTCAAATCTTTACCAAGATTGACATTTCCTGCAATACCCGCTCCACCTCTCACCTGAAGGGAACCTGATGTTGTCGTAGTAGAATCTATAGTGGAAAGAATCTGTACACTGGGGAGGTTAGAGTTGATTATGAAATTGGCATTCGAACCGGAATAGAGAAAAAAGTTCCCAGCATTTGGAGCGCTTGTACCGGTTCCACCATACCCGAATGCCCCAACTATCGTTCCTGTGTTGTTAAGGAAACCGATAGTAGAAAACCCCGATGCCGAAAGACTCTGGATCTTGAGAACATCAGTTGTAGTGGAGTTTAGTTGCAGTGTATGACTTGCAGTGGCCGATGAACCAGCAAATAGAGATTTTGCAATTCCAACGCCACCCGATACTTGCAAAGCACCGGTTGTTGTGGAAGATGAATCTACTGGAGATTCGGCGATAACTGCTCCATCCCCGCGTACACTCAAACCATATGATTGATTGGCTATCTGCAGTTTGATATAATTGTTTGCAGAGCCAGCACCTGTCAAGACGAAACTCATCTGTCCACAGTTCATGGATGTGGTGCTCTGTCCAAGGCTTATCCAGTTGGAGAATCCAGCAGCCATATTGGGTAGAAGAAACGTGGCAGCGTTTGTATAGCCCGTACCCGCCATAGTTGAGGTGAGAACCCCCCAATGGATACGCTTTTCCCTATACCAACTCCTCCGGCAACTTGGAATGCACCGGTTGTTATGGAAGTAGAATCCGTGGTAGTATTTACAACAACGATCCCAGAGGCAAGAACATCCATTATAGATGTTCCCGGTGAGTTCCCTATTCGCAAATTCGATGGTGTGTTGTTGTATACTGCTCGAATACACATATCTCCTATGGACGAATTACTTGAATAGTACCCGGCCGTACTTGAGTTTCCACAAATAGTGCTTCCGGTATTACCAGTTGCATTGGATGTGTTGAACCATTGGATTGTTTGGTTAGTCCCAGTCATGTATAGGTTGGCACCTCCTACCGTCAGCGATTTTGAGATGCCAACTCCTCCAGCAACTTGGAAGGCACCGGCATTTGTGGCGTTAGAGTCAATAGTAGAAGTAACTACAGTCGATGCAGCGTTATTTATATTCAGAGTCTGCCCTGTTGTCGTATTCAGGTTCGCTGTTGTTCCTCCTAGGAATACGGTGCCGCCAACCACCACACTTTTCCCCACACCAACTCCTCCAACAACTTGGAGCGCACCTGATGTGGTCGAGGTAGAATCAGTCGTTCCGGCAATTTGAACATTGGATAAGTTCGCATTTCCACCAACATTCAAAGATGATAGAGTTCCAACGCTTGTAATTTGAGGCTGAGCAGGATTTACGCTAAAGGCGTTTCCACTACGTGTCAATCCTGTTCCAGCACTAAGAAGCGTATCAACATAAGTCTTATTTGTGAGATGTGTCCCCAATGTCGGGACAGTTGATACAACTACATTTCCTGACACCGTGACATCTCCAGCAAAGTTCGCATTTCCATTAACGTTCAATGATGATAAAGTTCCAACCGATGTTATCTGAGGTTGAGCCACATTGACAGAGAAATTGTTTCCTGTACGTGTTAAACCGGTTCCTGCACTTAGAAGCGTATCAACATAAGTCTTATTTGTAAGATGTGTATCTGCTGTTGGGGCTGTCGAGATGATGGCGTTCCCTGATATGGTCACGTCGCCTGTAACACTCAACCCTTGCAGAGTTCCAACTTTGGTGATAACAGCCGACTGGTCCGTGTTGACTGAAATGGCCGTGCCTGACTTTGACAATCCTGCGCCAACTGTTGATGTCTGAGCATCGACGTAGGCTTTCGTGCTTACTTGGGCGTCAACGTTCGCAAGAGGCAATATACCAGTCACATCTGTTGTAAGCGTGATGGTGTTCTTTAACGCCATTGACCCGAGCCCTAATGCTGTTCTAGATGCTGATGGAGTTGTTGAGACAAAATTGGTTCCATCTCCTACAAGGAAATTATTAACAGTTGGGGTAGATGAGGAAATAACAGTCAATTTAGGATTAAGAGGTTGAGCATTTCCGGATGTTGTAGAAATCATCCATCCACATATGATTTTGTTGCTGGGTTTGATGCGACGGTGGGAGCAGGAATCGTTACCGCTCCAGTAAATGTAGATGCACCACTAACTGAGAGGGAAGTAAGGGTTCCGACCGATGTGATTTGTGTCTGTACAGAATTGACACTTAAAGTTTGAGAATTTTTAGTCAAACCGGTTCCAGCAAGCACAATGTTAGGATCGATACTGGAAGCGGGAAGGACCCCACTTACATCACTTGCAAGATTGATAACGGATTTAGCCGCCAAACTGCCAAGAGTAGGCTTGTTTGTAAGTGAAGCCGAAGTGTAATCGAGGACATTAAGTGCTGCAAGCGAACCAAGCGTAGGTTTGTTCACCAACGCCGAACTAGTGTAGTCTAAAGTATCGAGCAAACTCAAATTCTTCAATGAGAGATTTGCACGAACATCCGCAGGACTGTATTGAATGAAGTTCCCACCTGATGCGATAAGCATGTACGTGTTTGTTGGCGCAATGTTCCCAAAATTTGTAAGACGCGCATTCAAAGGTTGATAAGTTGTTGAAGCAACACTGGATAACAGATAATTGTTCAGACTCGGACTGCTTATGGAGCCGGCGGTCAAAGCGCCTGTTACGTTAAGAGATGTGAGTGTCCCAAGGGTAGTGATATTTCCGGTATTGACGGAAACGGTATTAGATGTATCTCTGGAAAGGATAGATCCAGTAAATGTTAATTTCTTCTCGTAGATGGTGAGATCTGGAGCACCCGTTATTCTCGAAAACGGAATGGTATCTGTTTTTGCGACTTTACCATCGATAGCAGTTTGAAGAAGACTTGTATTCTGACTGATCAAATTTGAATACGTTGGCTGTATTATTGTAGAGTCGTATTGACGTAGCATATCCAAGTTTACAGCCTGCTGTGGGACCTCTCCTGCGATACCAAGATATGAACATGGAGGTGGAGTGTCAAAAAGTAATCTCGTAACATCACACGATGCATCATCCGTTTTTGGAAGCGTTGCAATGATAACTTGTGAGCCGTTTGGATCTGGAACCGGGTTTCCCTTTGAATCCACTACATTGTTGCCATTTGCGTCTTTCTGATTCTTTCTCTCTCGACCGCTTGCAGCGATGAAACCACCAAGGATTCCGGCTGCTGCAGCAGGTCCTCCAAGAAGACCCCCGACGCTACCGATAGCAGATGTGGCAAATGGAGCGCCAGCCGCAGGGCCAATGAGACCAATTGCGCCTCCAAGTATTGTAGATAGCGGACCAGTGACTGAAATAATTTGATTCGTTCCACTGGCAGTTAAAGGATCAGATTCGCCAGATGGTTCCGAATCCTCATTTTTCTCTTCCGGATCATCATCTTCTTTCCGGTTCTTGTAGGGCTGAATTGAAGAGATATTGAAACCAGTTTCCTCGGAGCCAACAACGAGGATTCCGGAGCCCCCTGTTATAACCAAAGGCTGCTTAGACACGTTGAATTCCTTATCCGCTCCAGTAACAATGATAGGTAAAGCGCCGGTAATTACCGTTGGTGTTTCCGGCTCAGGTTGATATGTGCAACTGATGCTCGACCCTGAAATGGATATGTTGTTTCCGGCGGTGTAGGCCCCAGAAATAGTGTTTCCCGTAACTGACACTCCATTAGATCCAGTATAGGCACCTCTTATTGAATTGCCTGTCACCGTAACAGTCGAATCACCAGCCTGTAAATCCAACTGCAAATCATTTTCTATGCGTTTAACTCCGTTACTTGCTGTGAGTTTCTCACCGAATGTATTGTTACCATCGAATGTGATTGCTCCTGAGACATATGGAGCGAGTTTGACTTGGTTGGAGTTTTCCAATTTCAATCCGCCATTTCCAGGTTGAAAAGTCAGTCCTATCGCAATTTTATCGTTTACAATGCGAACACCTTTATTGTCTACAAGTGCAGCGGGATTAACAGACAGATTTTGATTACTGTCTACTGCTAAACTTGCGTCCGTTCTCACGTCAACAATACGCCTTCCGTTACTCACGCCAGAGATGTCTATACCAGAACCCGCTTGGTACAATTGCTCTACGTACCCGGATGTCACTACTTCATTATTCGAAGGGTCGAAGTTGCTTGTAACGTATACATGCGGAACACGTAATTCGTTCAGCGTTTCATTATACGTAAAACTACTGTCTCCATTGAATCCGCTTAAAGCAGAGTAGAATGGAACCTGTCCCATACCTTTCGAGCGGATAGCCAATTTGTTCCCAGTCTGTTGAAAGTCATCAGATGTCTTTAAACGCACAACGGTTGTATCAACATCAGTTTCTGATCCCAAAAAGTCCGCTAGAGAATCGAAACCGGTCTCTAGAAGGTCATCGAGTGCTAAAGATCCTGCCTTATCGTTGCTAATCGCCCCCCGTCCAACAATCACTGTATCAATATCCGTCTCAAGTTTGCTTTCATCGCTGAGTTTCAAACCTTTTCCATAATCAAGATGAATTACCTTGTCTGCATCTTTCGAAAGCGGAACTTCTACTCGAACAGCCTCGTCAACAATCGCTTCAACATTTTCTTGAACAACTGACAACTGACCGTTTTCAACTGTCAATGTGGAGTCAATATCGAGAGATATTCCTTGTACGTTACGCGTCAAAGGACTGATCAAAGATTCTTTCACAACTGCTAACTTACCATTATTCGCCTCCAATGAATTCTCATCAAAGTCCAACTTTATTCCTTTATCGTCTCTTGATAAAGGTTCTTGCAGATTTTCAACAACCGTTTCCGGAAAATTTACAGTTAAACCTTCATCGCCTACTGAAAGGGTCTGATCGTGGAACAAATTGAGACCGCTTTCATTGACTCCGAGAGGCAGGTTTGTTGAAAGGGAAACAGTTCGGCTTCCGTCATCCCTTTGGAGGGGAAATTCCATATTGTCAGGGATTACTTCAACAGATGCAATTCCGTTGGTTTTGTGAATAATCGCATCTTCGCTGTCAACAAGGTCGTTCAACAAAATTGGTCCATTTTCGTTCGATATCTTTGGAAAGCCTGCTCAATGAAAATTATCGATTGATACGTTCTCTCCATTAGCACGAAGACTATTGGTCACTAAAGGAGAAACGAGATTGGTTCGTTCAAGCACTCTGATTCCACTTGATGTTCGGGAATTTAGACCGCTCATTTACTAATTGCTAAAGAAAAATTATCCGATTGGAGTTTGCTGTAAATGTTCTAAGAATTGATCACCGCCTTTATGGAAATCTTCAACTCTCTTTATTCCCAGATCTGCAAACTGTTGCCCTTTTCGCGCAGTTTCCTTGATTTTATCGTGGAAGACATCATTCTCTTGAATCCCTTTGTTTACATGGCCTGCTATCGCATATCCCTTTCGAGTAACGGAAACCGCTTTGTCTAGAAAATTCCTCGCCTTTCCGATATTTTGTGGCAGTTCGTTAAAAAATGTGCGCGCTTTTCCTCTCGCTTTTTGAAAGAATCCCATTGAATATTCTTTTTCTTAACATGTACTAAAGAATATATATTCCATTCTATGTTGGTTCTTGACAACAAGTTTGCTCGATTGCCAAACAATACTTTTCCCTCCCCTCCAGTGTTGAATATCCATTCAAATCAGTTCGGTTACATACAGGGAAAGCCTGAAGAGACCTTTGACCGTTTATTCAAAACTCCCTTCTACGTTCCAGGCAAAGGGAAAATATCGGATGCATTCTCTATAAAACAGACTGTAGATCAACCACTCAAACTCCGTGAAGGAGAGTACCAGTCTCAGATTGCAAAACAGGCTGTGGAAGCGCTCCATGCTATCGATAAGGAACGTGCAAGACAAGCATACTTTGATGAACTGGATAAAGACAATCTTTTCCCTCGACAGGGTCGAACGGTTTCTTTGACGAAAACCACAGCGTCGAAAGGCGATACAATCTATCATCAGCCGAGTTATATTCGCGCGCAACAGAATCAATTCATTGGAGATGCATCATCCAATGTGCAACGAACCGGTGATAATCACCTTCCGGAAAAAGCAAACATGAGTGAAGCAAATACGATACTTGGTAACAACAAGGTGGTAACAAAAATGAACGACCGTGAAACAATGACGGACGAAATTGGTAGAATCGGTTCTGCTGAAAAGATAAGCATGTCAAATAGCCGCACACAGACAGATATTCCTCTCCATCGGGTTCGAGATCTTAGAACAGTTGAAACGCAGAGTACAACACCGGATCTAGACAGCGATACGTTAGATCTTATATTCTCGTCTGGAGGAAAATTTCAACATTTTATGGATGGAGTAACAAACGCGAATCAAACCTTGCAAACACAACTCCGATCCCAAGAAGAGCAACTTGGAAGAATGACAACAGCCACAATGTCTACGTTCAGAAGAATGTTAGAATCGGTAGGTTTTAAAAATGTTCCTTTGACAATGACTCCGGACGAGATGGAACGACTTCTCAGCCAAGTGCAAAGCGTCACACCTATCGCATTAAGTGAAGTGGGAGCGATGCAAAGATTGATAGAAACTTTAAGAAAGGAAAAGATTACAGAAAGCAAAGATGTAGGGACACAATATTCTCTTGGAGATGTGCCACGGGTTGCTAGACCACGCCCACCACCAATAATTACGAATTTCTCACCGACAATAAGTTATCCATCTGCCAGTTCAGCAGTCACTCAAAGCGACATTTTCCCGAATAGGAGTCCAAAATCTACCCTATCAACTGGAACGGTAGGATCCCCTATGGATCTCTCCACACCAATTGAACAGTTTGTAACCGCCGAACCGATTACTCAAGTTCTTTCCCCAAATGAGGATTCTGCAACACCAACACAGAGAGATATCTTCACC